AGATTTAGTTGTAGAATCTACTTTATAAATCTTGTACAATTCACATTCTAAATAAAAATTGAGAGAAAATGCTTGGTTGTGATAAGAATAATACCAAAAAAAACAGTATCAACAAATATTGGACACAAGAAGTATATTAAAATAGATTTAAATTAAGGGTTAATATAGGTTAGTTTTTAAATTAATCAAGTGTTACTCCAATAATTCTCCTAAAAGGAAACGGTTTTTTATAAAAAACTCTCTCAAATCTATACAAAATTGAAGTCTGGGTAAACCATTATATTAGATGTATCTAAATTTTAAATAATATTCTTTTACTGCAAAGGGATGTTAAAAAAAGGATATCTTGTATTTTTAACCTAAATTTCTTTAAATCTATAATCTGAACAATACTTGTTTTTGACATCCCATAGATGGATAGAGTTATCATCACTACCAGAAGCTAATGTATTTCCATCAGGAGAGAAACAGACTGACATAACATAATGAGTATAACCATCTAATTTGGCTTTTTATTATCCTGTTTTGACATCCCATAGACAGATAGAATTATCATCACTACCAGAAGCTAATGTATTTCCATCAGGAGAGAAACAGACTGACATAACATAATGAGTATAACCATCTAATTTGGCTTTTTATTATCCTGTTTTGACATCCCATAGACAGATAGAGTTATCATAACTACCAGAAGCTAATATATTTCCATCAGGAGAGAAACAGACTGACATAACTAAATTACTATGACCATCTAATTTGGCTGTTTATTATTCCTTTGTTACATTTTATAGATGGATAGAGTTATCATCACTACCAGAAGCTAATGTATTTCTATCAAATGAGAATCAGAATGAGTAAAAATATCACTATGACTATCTAATTAATATAATCGTTTATTAAGAATTATTTCCAATTTCAATCAAACAATTCACTTCATTTAAATTAACATCATTGGTATTTAAATTATCAAATGTAGATCTTGTGAAATTGCATTTTGCAAAATTAGCTTCAAATAACGAAGTATTTTAAATTCTTATATTTTCAAAATTTAGCTTGTTTGATCCACCTTCATTTCAACCAATTTACTTAGTGCATTAGATCCACTTAGTATAAATTTATTATCTATCTTAGAAGTATGAACTCAGCATTTCATCTATAATATTGGTTGTGCAATTTGCGAGGGTGGATTCATTTTTGACTTTTTGGTTGAAGAATGCTTATAATAATAGTCGTAAATTGAAACTTGTTTAAGATCATTTATCAATTTAGAAGGTATTGAAATTTGTACATTATCTTCTGAAACTGATTTTAGTATTGCAACTGAAATAATAAATTGTTAGAAATATTACTCTAATTGTTTATAATATGTCTTTTCTCTTAAATCAAAGTTATAATGTGTACTTTGTAATTTAGGATATGTTAGTTCAGTGATTACAGGGTATTGTATAAAAAGTTAAGATTCTTTTGAGTCGGAAGAAAATATTCAAGTAATTTAAGGAGACTTTTTGAGGCAGATGGATATGTTCAATTGCTTTAATTTTTACCTGATTAATAGTATTATTCATACACTCCAAAATTATTACATGAGTTTATAATTAAATGTAAAAATGAATATTAAGTAGCATCAATTCAATTATGTAAAAAATATTGTAGTAGCGATTGCTTAAATTGCTAAGATAATTTTAGTCATTTTATTTGTATGAAATGTCCTTTAAATTACTACAGAATCATATAAGAGTTGAAATTCAAGGTCAATGTACAACCTGCTCTAATTTATGCTAATATTGTTAATAGAAATGAAAACAATATTTCAGTAAAATCTTAATATTATCATAGGTTTGGAAACCAAAATTGTATATGCAGAAATCTAATGCTTAACTTAATATGATATATCTTGAACAAATTGATGACCCTAATGTAATCATCGATCCATATTTACAAATTGCTAAATATTGTTTTAACAAGATTTGTTAAAATAACTTTTCATTATCCTATTATTTTACATCCTATATGTTTGATAGATATTGGCCCAATATTTATGATGATCTTATAAATTTTCAGTACTGCAACTTAGTTGGAGTAGATTAAATGAGAATTAATTACATCTTTTAAATTGAAGAAGATCAAAAGCATTCACATATTTATGTTTATAGGGAACTTGAATTATGGAATGCTTTCAAGAAATAAATTTTTTTACTAAAGAAGGCAAATATGATTCTATCTCTAGCACATGATAATATCTTAACTTCATCAAAAAAAATAGTTATAACTAATTTTGACTCAGTAGAAGTCAAAAACTTTAAACTTTCACTATTTAATGGATTAACTTGGAGAATTTTATGTTAATTCTGAATGTTAAGTGTGTTAATCAAGTTAACTCTGTTGTATATGATTCAATTGTTGATAAACCAAATTTAAAAATATAACTGAAAATAACATAGAATTATTTGAGGGTTTTTGGAGACCTAATTATTAATCAGAATAAATAGAGGAATGTTTTAAAAATTTTAATTTTGGTAAAGTTGGTTGGGGATAGGGAAATTCAATATGCAAATTAGGACATATTGGAGCATTTTGTGAGGAATGCGATATTTATAATATAAGAGGAGATGGAAATTATTTAAAAAAACAATAGGATTCATATTGTAGAACTTGTTTTGGTGTTGAGGATAGTATCATCCCATTTATTGCAACTTTAATTTGGTAATTTAAATTAATATTAAGGTCGTTTATATCAATCATTATAACCTTAAAAAGTATTGAATAGTCTAATTAGTTATTCAAAAGTTTAAAATAAAAATAAAAGTTCAGCAAAATTATTTTTAATCTTGAACAAGGTATATTAATTATTAATTTAAGGGCATTAAAGTTTTTTAATAAAAATGTTTTTAAACTATTTATAGATATTTTCTGTTATATTTACATTCAATATACAATTCTCGTTTTCATTCACTTTGTTGATTCAGCCAGTAATACTTCCTATTCGATGAGAAATAAATTGGATTGTTATTTATCAGAAAATCAATCAATAAATTTGATTTACTCTAAAATAATTTCAATGCTTGTACTCATGACATTCTAATTTATACTTGTAATTTTGGGATTTCTAATTTTTAATTGGTATAAAAAAATAGGAATGAGTCATTTCAACTTGGAAACCATTTCTAATAGTCTACTCAACCTTTTGTTTCTAATTATGGTGGATTGGTTAAAATGTAATTCAATACTTAATTTCTTTTAGGTACTTCTCTATTGTTTCAAAAAGAGATGTATCAAGTTAGAGTTACATACAAGGTGATGTTTCCCTTCTTTTTGGATCCAAAGAACACTTGATTTGGATTTTCTCATTTGTTCTTCCAGGAATAGGAGTATTGAGCTTGATTATTACCCTTTCCCTTTTTATAGTCATGTACTTTAAAAAAGATTAACATGATAACTATTGAAGATTTCTAAAGGTCAAATTCAATATAAAAGAAAAATGATAAACTCTCAGAGCAATAAAACTCTATTCTTACGGATTGAATCACAATACTTTTTTAAGTTAGATACTGAATGATTTTTTGAAATCTGAATGAGTCCATTTTATCTTTTATTAGAATTTAGCTATAAATATACAATTTATTACAATATTAATATTGAAAAAATGATAAAAATAACTGATTTCAGATTACATCTGGTTTGATTTTATATAAATATACTAATTTATATTAGTTTTGTCTTCTTCAAATTTATTTATTTTATTCCTTTTTTGCCTTTATACCTTTTTGAAATATTAATTGAAAAAAGTAAGTTAATTAAAAAGTTTAATATCATATTTACAAAATTTGTAATATTTTCTAGAAAAAAAATTAAATTAAAGCACTAAGATAAACAATTACAAAAACCATATATTTATTCTTTTTATTTCTTATAAAATGGAAGTAGAGAACAGCCACATGTTAAATGGGGATAGTAATTCATAATAAGTCCAAAATTTATACATAAAAACCTGCTATTTTTATTTTAAGTAAAAAAATATATAATTTACCTAATGAAGTAACATAAAAAAATTAAATTGAGTAAATAAATAAAAAAGTTGAATCTGAACTTGAGATTTATGTAATAATAAAATTTGCAGGTAAAAAAAATTTACCTATTAATAGGGGAAAATAATTCAAGGGTTAGTTTTATATCCAGATAATTGGTATGATAAAATTTAATAGTTCAAAGCATATTCTTTATCCATTAGGTTCTACTTTAGTAGTAGACATAGAATTACAAAACAACAAACTTTTTAAAGGTATGGAAAATTGGTATATTAAATTAGAGGACATGATAATTAGATCTCTGTAATAATAGTTTCTCGAACTGGAGATAATATTGTTTCTGGATAGAAAAAATATATTGTGTTCCAAGCTGAAATAATAGTTTGGGATTTCAAAGATAGAAGGATGATTTTAATTGGAACATTAGGGCAGAGGAGTCTTTATATGGATTCAAAATAGAGATCCTATTAATTAAGTCTAGTTTACAATTAATCATATGAAAAGATGATTGCAGTTTTGAATACTGGAGTTTAAATTTTAGCAATAGACAAATAAAATATAAAGTTATTATGTATGGATATACAAAGATTTAATCCATTGATATTAATTTTGGAAGTGNTACTTTTTTAAGTTAGATACTGAATGATTTTTTGAAATCTGAATGAGTCCATTTTATCTTTTATTAGAATTTAGCTATAAATATACAATTTATTACAATATTAATATTGAAAAAATGATAAAAATAACTGATTTCAGATTACATCTGGTTTGATTTTATATAAATATACTAATTTATATTAGTTTTGTCTTCTTCAAATTTATTTATTTTATTCCTTTTTTGCCTTTATACCTTTTTGAAATATTAATTGAAAAAAGTAAGTTAATTAAAAAGTTTAATATCATATTTACAAAATTTGTAATATTTTCTAGAAAAAAAATTAAATTAAAGCACTAAGATAAACAATTACAAAAACCATATATTTATTCTTTTTATTTCTTATAAAATGGAAGTAGAGAACAGCCACATGTTAAATGGGGATAGTAATTCATAATAAGTCCAAAATTTATACATAAAAACCTGCTATTTTTATTTTAAGTAAAAAAATATATAATTTACCTAATGAAGTAACATAAAAAAATTAAATTGAGTAAATAAATAAAAAAGTTGAATCTGAACTTGAGATTTATGTAATAATAAAATTTGCAGGTAAAAAAAATTTACCTATTAATAGGGGAAAATAATTCAAGGGTTAGTTTTATATCCAGATAATTGGTATGATAAAATTTAATAGTTCAAAGCATATTCTTTATCCATTAGGTTCTACTTTAGTAGTAGACATAGAATTACAAAACAACAAACTTTTTAAAGGTATGGAAAATTGGTATATTAAATTAGAGGACATGATAATTAGATCTCTGTAATAATAGTTTCTCGAACTGGAGATAATATTGTTTCTGGATAGAAAAAATATATTGTGTTCCAAGCTGAAATAATAGTTTGGGATTTCAAAGATAGAAGGATGATTTTAATTGGAACATTAGGGCAGAGGAGTCTTTATATGGATTCAAAATAGAGATCCTATTAATTAAGTCTAGTTTACAATTAATCATATGAAAAGATGATTGCAGTTTTGAATACTGGAGTTTAAATTTTAGCAATAGACAAATAAAATATAAAGTTATTATGTATGGATATACAAAGATTTAATCCATTGATATTAATTTTGGAAGTGCCAAAAGAACTTTAATTTTGTTGCAATTAATAAAAATTATACATTTTATTATTTTGGAATAATGACTGGTGATGTGATGTATTTGAATTTAAATGGATATGGCTATATATAAAAGATGACTCATGTCAAGTAGCTATTTTCAAAAAGAATTAATTGTTTAGGATTATTGTAAAGTGGATATATAATTGTTAGAGCAAAGGATGGTTTGATAACAAAAGTGTCTTTTCAAACAATATAAATTGTAGCAAGTTGTGAATTACTTGGAGGTGTGAAATCTAGATCATTTACAAATGATTAGACTCATTTTCTCACAGGATCAATTCAAAGTAGCATATATTTGTTGGACACTGAGAAATTAATACCAGAATTAAGAAATACTTGTCATTAGGAAAGGATTAATGATGTTGCTTTTCTTCATAGTTATTCTGATGTATTTGCTACTAGTTCTTTAAATGATATCAGAGTTTGGAATGCTAAGAATAGGTAGAATCGCTTAGAATATAAGTTCCAAATGGGAAAATTCAACCTTTTGCCATAATCAGGTACATTGCTATCTGTAATTAATGATGCCCATATATATGGGCGTACATCATAAACTTTTACATCGAATTGTTAAAGAATTATTTCAAGAGAATCAGAAGAAGAAGTCAGAGTTTGGAAAATGAAAATTTCTAAAATTTTTCTTATTTTATAACAAATTTAATCTTAGCCAAATATTTATAAAAATCCCTGATATAAGATGTACTTAGTTTGTAAATAATCAGATGCACCTAAATATGCTAAACATGAGCTTATTCAAGGGGTTTTGATTGAAATAAGTAAAGCAGGTAGGTACGTTTGTAACCTTTTTGGATTACTCTTCACTTAGTGAGATGGAAGAATAATATTCATCTGGCTTCCCTTTAGAACCCCTAGCTGATCTCTTTGATGAAAGCCTACCAAGCAGTACTTTAATGATAATTCTTTGCTTAAGTACGCTAGATAGTCAAATTTATAAAAATATTTCTAAGATGATAGGAATTAGAATAAAGATTTAGATGTAAAAAGCTGAGATGAAATAATAAAAGGTGGTTGAAAATGTTTAGCCAAAAAAAAAATCAAAAAAAAAATTAAATTATGCAAAAATCTCTAATTATTCAGTAAATTTAAGCAGATAGAATTAGATTGAGAAGTTATGAGTTTTTAGCCAGTTTTTTTAAAATCGAATAAATGAAAAGCCTCTCATAAATAAATTTATGAGAATCTAAGATAAGTCTATACATGCCCTTTGGAGGACAGAAATCACAAATACTGTGATTGTAGAAGAATTTATTCTCTGTTTTAATAATCAAATGAAGCAATTTTTTTCATTTAAAAATTTTAAAGTAATCTAGTAATCATTTAGATGAATTCACTTTAAAAGGAAACGCAGGAGATCCTATAAATGTTTAATTTATATGGAATGTCAACTATAGAGTTGTATGGATCATCAATAGTAACCCAAAGACTTATTTCATCAAAAATATCGCAAATCAGTTGTATCAGAGGAAGTTTTTAGTGAGAATTACCTGATTTAAATGATAAAGATCAGATTTGACAAGTTCCGGTGTTTTAACTTGCATAATTTCTGATATTACTTTATTAAAAAATGCTGAAATAGTAATTAGAAGAAATATTGAAAATAACAAAGTATTATAAAAGGATAATTTGCAAAAGTAACTGATATGCATTTTGATAGAGATTTTCAACCAAATAATAGGATCAGTAAATTCATAATTATAACTAAGAGTACAGAAACAAAATAATTTAAAAGAAATAATAGTTGAAGTTAATGAATAAAATAATTAGTTAAAGGAATTAGATCATTAAATCAGATAAATTATTTATGTGAAATTAATTTTTAAAAAATTTATCTAAAAAAATAAAATTACAGTTCCATTAGCAAAATAATCAACCTATATGATACTAATTATATTAATTGAAAATGTAGTGATTCAAAAACTATAATTAAATCAAAAAAAATTTATTAAAATAATGAATATAAATAAATAAGGATTGATTTGTGAATTGTAAATTAATTGATTAATTAGAAATTAATTTAAAAGAATAATAATCAAATTATACTATATTGATATTATTAATAAAAATTTGTAATGACACATTTCTTAAAAAATTAATAGTTTTAATAAGTAAAATTCCAGATCATTTAATTGTTTATATTCATTAAATACAAATAAATTTCGGGTTAGCTTCGACTAACATGCAGCTTAAGGTTCAAAATTATAAAAATTAATAATTAATTTAAAAATGACAATGTAGCAATAGCATGGAATGATTATTAACAAGAATGAGCAGAGATAATAATTTATTATAATAATTATTTTTTAAGGTAAGTTTTAAAATAATAAATTTAAAGTTCAAGCGAATAATAAAATACATAGATTTTTTAATAAATTTATATATATATGCATTTATATATATAGAAGAATAATACTTGAACACAATAATTTGATAATATAACAGTATTGAAGATGAAAATTTTAAGAAATTAAATCCTCCGATAAAAATTACAAATATCTTTTAATATAATCTAATATTCCACTCAAAAATAGTCTTATTCCAGAAGATAGGATTTATATTTTTAATATTTCTAGTCTCCAATTACTTCACTATACTCTTTATATCCCAAGAGACAATATTTCAAGCTAAAGGAGCTTTAATTGTGAATGGAGATTCATTAATCAATCAGGTATTGATCCAAGAGATTATTGAAATAAAAAGGAAGTTGCTTTTTAGAAGTTGAATGAAAAGTGAATTTGATTATTATCAACAAAAATCAAAATAAAATTGCAAATACATTTTGAATATTTTGTTAAAAATGTCCTTATCTGATTCTACTCTTCATCTTCATTTCTTAAGATTGATAAGTTCATGTTTTATTAAAGTTTTCATTCCATTTAAGTTTTATGTGAACTTCCCTTATTTTAATATTAGAAAAATCTATGGTTGAGATAGTGTAAGGAATAATTACTGAGATGACATAAAAACTGTTCTCAATTAATATTTATATAGATTTAAATTTAAATGATACTTTATTTCATTTATAATCTAAAGACATAAGAGTGAGCAAAACGAAGAGGCGAAAAGAAAGTGTGAAATAGTTATTTATAGAAATTTAAAAGGAAATTAACACAACGTCATTCTTTTTAAATCATTTAGAATATTATGATATTATTAATAAAAGGGATTTTTAGTTCATAAATAGAAAAGATTTATAAAGCAATAAAAAAATTTCAAGATAAATAAACAAAGATAAGTAGTATATCCCCGAAAAGGATTAAGATTTTAAGATATAACTACTTTTGATTATCGACTTAATGATACATCCATAAAGAAACTGTCAACAATACTTTTAAAATAAAAAATAAAAAAATTATAAACCAATAACATAATGTATAATCACTTTTACCTTCTAGATGATTTTAACGAAAAATGATTATCAAGACAAAAATACCACTTTTATGAACTCATCCACCAGACAAATTTAAATTTATTTAAATTCAGTTAGAAATAATCCAAAATTGATTTTTATTTATTTAAAGCAAATCTATTGAGCAAATTGAAGAATAAGAAAAAATGATATTATGATTAGTATTCTTATACATATACGAAGATAATTTAATTTTTCATGTTTAAAAATGAGATTAAATATTAAATTAATTTGATAATAAATCTATAGAACAAACTTAAAATAAAAAGCAGGAAATCAATGATATCAATTATTATGAATATTTATTTTTATGTTAATGATTTCAAAATTATAATTAATCAATTATCTTAAAATTTTAATTTTTTGTAAAACTTTAACTATTAATATATATCAAATAAATTAAAATTCACATTTTTCTAAATCCGAAACAAATTATATTAACCTGAAATATTACTGTCAAATTTAAAACTAATTGCAGTTTAACAATACTATAAAAAAGTCAATAACCATTTATTTGTTTTATTTATTTTTATTACTCAATCCTATTTTTACAGTTTATAGTTTTATTGATCAACCCTAAAGTTGAAGTTTTCTATAATCTTTTTATTTCTTTCAGCGTTTCGGATCATTTTTCTATATGGAATACTTTCCTGTTGTTCCTTATTATTTTTTATAACTTAATTGCCTTTTATGCTTGATATTTTATATTAATTTACTATCATTTAATGATAAAAGAAGAATGTAAATATCCTTCCTCGGGAATGTCAATTTATATTTTATTAAGGGTTATTGTTGGAAACAAAAAATTTTTTTTAAATGACCATATGAGAAAAAATTCTATCAATTGTAACTTTTGCAAAAACTCTCATTCAATTTCGTTATTATTCTGTTTCAATATGCGTTGAGAAGCAAATTATGCATTTAAGTATTAATCAGTTTTTGAAAATATTTCAAAAAGTAGAAAATCTAATAAACAAATAGCATTTTTATATTACTGATTAATGTAATACTATTTAGAGTTTAAAAAAATTTAACTCCTAAAAAGAATTCAATGAGATTTTTTAAGGGCATTCATATGAGAAACAGATTAATTTCAGCTATCAAAACAGATTTTTTATTCAATTGATGACCAAATAGGTAATAAAAATTTTAAATCAAATGTCATGATTGGGCAAGTTAATTAATAATGGTATTTTAGAGTAAAAAAAAATTTTTAATCTCAAACTTGTATTGGCATTAAATTTATCATTTTTATTGATAATATTATTAAACTATTTAACAAAAAATACAATTACACTTTCATAAAATTTAGATAATTTTTAATTGGAAAAATTAACTTCATATTAAACAAATCCTTTGTATATTTTGTAAACTGCTTTTTTAAAATTTATGATTAATTAACAAAATTAAAATAGTTATTTTTAGAATAAAACATTTACAGATCAATAGGTTCTATTATGAAAACAGAATCTTTTGGGTCTACAATTATTTGAATATTCGTGAAGAAATAATTGAATTATTTCCTTTAAATATGTAAAAAATTTGAAAAAGATATAATTCAAAAAATAAGTATTAATTATTCAAGTATTTTTTAATAAATAAGTGAGAAAAATATACTGATTGTTACCCATTGAAATTTTAATTTCCAGATTTAGAATACTAAATATATAAGACGAAAATGCATTCAGATCAAAAATCGAGCAATTGCCCTCTATTAAAAATAAATTTCCTATTCATTAATGTCAAATAAGGAAGGAATTACTTTTAGAGCATAAGCAGAATTGATGAATATCAAAGTGTAGTTTTTTAACTTCTAAATGTAAAGGTAGCAGATTTTATATTCAAATGGGAAAAAAAAACATCAAAATCAAGTTTTATTGGCTAATTCAAAGCAGATAAACGTTAAAAAAAATAATCATAAATCAAGATATGATTTTAAGAATTATAATTAATCTTCAATATTTCCTTAGCCATAAAATAACCGATTTGATTAATCATATGGCATTTATTGAATAAGCCAATTTTCTTTCTTATCAGTTCATTTGATATTTTTGGTTTTTATGACTACTCTCAAACTAATAGGATCAATTAAAAAAGCAACAGAATGGTAAGAGTTTTGAAAAAAATTAGATTTAAATGATTTTAATATTCATTTTTTTGCTTTTAGAATATATTTGCATCTCATTGTTGAAGAGCTATAAGCCATCATTTTTTACAAGTTTATTTTGATGTTTTTTTTAATATTTAACCAATCTTCACATCCT